AATTATCATAATGAAGTTTGGTTTATTCTACCCCCCTTCACCCCCCATGTATCAAGTAGGAAGCTGACCTGGTTCAACCTGACTGTTGAACTTTTTTCTTTTTTCTTTTTTCTTTTTTTTTCTTCTAATTGGGATGGTCTTCTCTCCTCTTCCCCCTCCTTGTGATGTCATAATGTTGAAATTATATTTGCATTGATGAAAAACACAACCTCCATGCTTGATAGTCTTTTTGCCATGAGCTGGAATGATGATTTCCAAGACAAACAAGGAGCTGGTCCCCTGCAGTTCTTTGTGATGCATTTGTAATTCCAGCACCTGGATGTGGTTGATCCACAGTGTCTGTATCCACTAAGAAAATTAATGATCTGTGCCAGAGGGTAGAAGGAAATCCCACTTAAAGTCAATTCTTTCCCTGATATTTAGGCAAATCAGATACTGAGAAGCTTCAGAAAATGTTCACGAGTATTTTAAAAGTCAGTTTGCTTGTTCATGTGGGGTTGTTTGGTTTTTTTTTTCCTTTTCTGTCTGATGCAAAATTGGAAGTACAGTAATGCTACCTGTGTCTTTGTGAATAGGAAAGAATATATTCTGTTTTTGTGATACGACTTACATTTTCTCTAAGTCTCTATTAATAAGGAATGGAATCTTTTAATCCTCAGATAAATGACAATTTAAAGCAGTTAGCTAGTTTCAAATTGAAAAGACTTGAAGAATTATTTTCTGCCTTTTCTTTCAGGAGCCAACAAGAAGCAGCAGCCAAAAAGTTCTTTTGACGACCTGTTCCGTTTGTGTGTACATAACAGCAGTGTGTATGCACAGAAAATTCTACACTTCTGTAATGAGGGAAATTTTAGTGTTGGATATACTTCAATATTATAAATTATTGAATTTTATTAAATAAAATGAGTTCCCATTTAAAGTGCTGATGCTAAAAACAATGAGCAAATGCTGGATGGGGTAAAACTCTGCACCCTGTCTGTGTTTTCAGCTGACTTTTTCATAAATACTGAAAGGCAAACTCCCCGTTCCTCTGCTTTTGTTAAGATTCCAGAGGAGGAGTTGAAAACACCCAGGCTTGGTGTTTGTCCAGAGTGTGAATTGCAGATGGATGATTTGTGCAGAAAACTTGCTACTAACTGTCCTGACATAGCAGTTAAAAAAAAAAAAAAAAAGACGGTAAAAAATCCCACACCTCAAAGAACTGTTCTTCTGTGGGGTTTGGTTTTTTTTTGGCGGGTAAAAATTTATTACAACCATTTTATTTGTTTACCACTTGGATTTAGCAGTATAAGAATATTTTAGTTAATTCTTATTTAAACACTTTTTAATATGTGGACACAAAGACAGGCCTTTAAGACCCTGACTCTTGATACTTGATGTAAAAAACCAATTATACAGAACATGCAAAGAAAGGCTTCTCTCCCTGTTTTGCAGTTTGATTTTGGGCAGTGAGAAAAAATGTGATAAAGTAGTTCCTTCAAGTATATTGTGGGGCTGATTTCTTTTTTCATGGTTTCAAGCCTGTCTGTAATTTTTTGGGGAGATTTGTGGAACTTTCCCAACAAAGGTGACTGCTTTATCCATCTTCCAATCTGATTGCATCAAGGATATTTAGTGTGTGAATTTGTCTTTACTTTTCTAAAGCTGTCTTGTGTCTTTCATGTATCAAGTACAGATGCTTTGGTTTAAATCTTGACATGGTGAGTATTGTAAACTGCAGCTGTTGATGAAATGTTGATGAAATATTGTTGAAATGTTAACCCATTTCTTCACAAACTTGCTTCAGACATGTTTGTTCATCTGCAGAACCAGTATTTTGTGTCAGTTCCTGTTTGGATATCAAAAGCATAAGACTGAACATGCGATTTTGATACTGCTTATCAAGTGAAAATTTGCTTCAGGAAAGAAAGAAAGCAGAGGGCCCAGCTTAGGAATGTGAAATGAATTAATTTTGCCATGTTTACATATCTGTGGTGACTTTGTCCTTGAGTTGTATGTAGAATTCGAATAAGTATTTCTGTGGTTTCCTAAATTCTGTAAAATACACAAATGCATCAGGATCTTTCACTTAGAACTGTTAATTTGTTTGTCTGAATCTGCAAAAATTATCTGTAATATGACTACTCCTGTTGCATTTCTGCAGTCTGCTCCCTTGGAGTGCAACACGTGCTGCCAAATTCACTGTAATGAAGAACACTTCAGTATCGTGCCTATCAGTTTGGAGAAATGATAAATCTATGCAATATATTTTGTTACTTTAAGTACAGTGTCCAAAAAGTGAATGTCTGTGCTATACTAAGAAAATGACACTGGCTACACACCAATTAACACATCTGCAGCATGGAGGATACTCCAAGTGGTCTAGCTTTATAGATTCATTTCTAAATTTGAGCAGATTTTGCTGTACTAATGAGAGAAACTACTGCCTCAGGATGATCCATGAATAAACAACTTTTCAGATAAAGCAGAATAACCTATTGGAATTTATCTCTTCAGTTCTTTCAACACCAGCAAATATTTCCAGGTGCCTTAAGTGTAAGATATTACAACCCGGACTCTTGTAACGAAACTTAATATATTTTCTTAAATGGTTCTGAAAGTGTACAGTGGTGTTTCCTTTCAGTTGCAGACTTTCTTGCATCAGTGCAACATCCAAACAGAACTCCTTTCACAGCAGGCTTTGCAAAACCCCCCATGCAGAAAGTATTTTGATACATATGTGGCAGAACGAGGAGCAGTTCTGATGCGTCCATTGGAATGAGCCTGGATTTTTGTTACTGTGAATTTACCCACCCATTCCTTTGACTTAAAGCTGGAGCAGCCCATACTTCTGTTTGTTTGGTTAGAAAGAAGAGCAGGTTGGGGGTGATGTCTAGAAGGAAACTTGAAGCCTACAGTTTTCTCTTCAGGAGGAGGCTGCTGGATCAGACGTGTCTCCCACATGCAATGCGAAAACTTCTGAGGTAGGGAACAGAAGGTCTAATATGGAACACCAGAAAACTGGTAGCTTTTCTTCATGATTCATTTCACAGCTGTCTCCCCTTGGAGCTTCCTTAACTCACTGGATCAAAAGAAAACTCCCAGATGCCCAGCTCGAATTTCGTCCTGTCTGTTCTTGAAGTGATAGCAACAAATTAGGATTCTAAGAATGTTTTTCAGTCAATGTAGCCTCCTTCTAGGTGTCTTTGAGCAGTGACAATGTGTTTGATTCTTATCCAGTAAGATTTCACAGCTAGGCGGAAAAGACAGGGAATGCAGTTGGACAGTATTAGGGAGACCAAGTTCTATTTGAGTTGTGGATAATAAGTGCAAATATTTGGCAATGACAAGATAATAGGATTGTACTGGTGGGGGTTTATTAAACAGTGATCACCCCTGAATCTTTCACAAGTCAAATGCACAGTACAGTTTGTAAATGACCTGGTTTTCGGTTTGTAAATTAATTGCTCTGGTTTGTAACTTCTGTGGGAAGAAAATCCGACCTTTCTCAATGATCAATGACTGTAACAGCAAAAAATGTCAACTTTTTAAAAAAAATTATTTTGAATTCAAACAGCTGACAGTTTCTTGTTTTTTTCTGACTGATGTAAATTGATACTTGGAGTTCAGAGATAACCTTGTTTGAATAAAGGTACATATTTTTAGTAAGCCTTTTTCTTTTCATTTGGTACATGAAATCTAGCAAGTGTATTTGAAGCGTTCTTTACCCTCGGTTCAGAGTCAGAACGTGCAGAGATCTGAGTTTAGTTCTACCTAACACTGGGGAGTAATGACATTTTGAGTCTGAATTCCCTCTGTGACTGTCACTTTTCCCCAGCCAGGAGAAAGTTTTTTAGCAAGTGGAGGACAGGAATCTTGAATTGAATCTATTCTAGCTGACAAAACCCTTAAATACTTCTTTCTAATTTCCAGCTGCTAGAAAAGGCAGAATCCTCTTGGTAGAGGGATGAATCAGGGGGCAGAGTCCTGGTTCTTTCAAGAACACCTAAGTGTTTTTGCGTTATGTGACTGATAGGAGCACAGAATCTAGAAAAGATTGGGAGTTTGGGTGGCATTTTTGGGCTGGCCTCCCTCTGGAATTTGCCTGTTTTGAGACTGAATTCTTTGCTGGGGTTAGAGATCTGGGTGTTCCTTGGGTGTGGAACAGGCTTTTATGTATCACCCACTTTCATCAGATAAAACAGGAACAGAGTCTTTAATTTTGATTTCACTTAAGCTAGAAGGAAAAGACCTGGATTTAAAGCAAAGGAAGTGACAACATGAGTACTTAATTAGCGGCTGTTTTGTATGTTTTCATGAAGTCTGTGATTCCTGTCATCAACAAAAAGCAGTAAGTTTCTACAGTGCAATAGAGCACCTGCCTTGAACAGAATTACTGTGGGGTGAGTTGTGCCTTTTGTCACCAGCCTCTCCTGTGTTTCTCAGCAGCTTCAGTGCCAACAGGCCCGGTAACTTTTAAAGCCCTTTGTTATCTTTGACCTGAAAACTGACATGGGAAAGCCTTTTGCTGATTGTAAGGTTGAGAGGTGGAGGGCAAGACCTCTTAGCAGTCCCTCCCCAAGCCAGTCCTCGCCTTTCTCTGTCTTGTGAAGGCATCACTTCTAGGCACAAAATTATGTTAGAAACATTTCTAGGGGGATCAAAGCCTACAGAAAAGTCAGGGAAGCTTCTTTTCAGTGAAGACCAACAGCACAAAGCTTAACAGGTGCCACTTTCCATACACTTGGAGAAGACCCTTGAGACCAAACATTGGAAAAATCAGTGTTTGCAAAGTTCCAGCTAGGAGAATTTTAAATAAAGATGAAGCAGCTGTTATTCGGAATTCATCATTTGAGTGACAGTTTCAAAAAAAAAGAGTTTCTTGTTTAGTCACTAATAATCCAGGATTTCAGAATGTCCTGTGGCGGTTTTTTCCTTTTTGTTTTGGTTTGGGGTTTTTTTTGTTTGTTTTGTTTTGTTTTTTGGGGATTTTTGGTGGGGTTTTTTGTGGTGTTGTTTTTTGTTTTGGTTTTGTTTTTTAAATAGTAATAGGTCTGCTTTAATTAGAAAGGCTGTAATATAGATTAAAGCATTAGGCAAACTGGAATCCTCCCATCTCTCAATTCTCACTGAAATTATGAGAGTGCTGGGAGAACCATTTAGATAATCAAAATTTCAGAATGTTGCATTAAGGCATGTGCAGTCAGTGCAGTAGGATAAATGCTCAAAACCCAAACTCATGAACTTGGGAAACCTAGCAGGTGATTTTCTTTCTCAAAATAGTCTGTGACCTAGGTAGCAGATCCTGGAAATCTTCACTTGAGTAGAGCTGGTGAGGCTAATGATGTGACTAAAGGTTAGAAAGATAAGGACCAACAGAAACAATCTAGACCCAGAAGGTATCCATACTTTTTTCTGGCATACAGACTCAGATTTAGTCATCCTTTATCAGCAGTTAGGATAACAAACAGCAGATGTTTTATGCAGCACCAAAGCATGGGTCTAGATGGAGACAGCTGAGCTGTCAGAAACTCAAAGGAAGAACACTAGGAAGATCTGACTTGCTTTCTTTGGGGTTACTTTCTTGAAATAAAGCAATTGTAACACTGATGCCTCATTCATCTGCAAGATAAACCAATCATATTAAGAGGGGCTGAAAAAAAAACACACAAAATATTTCTGTCCAGCGGGATAAAATATTCATGGATAAAAAGAATAAGGGGTTTTGCCTAATGAAGAATTCAAGTTTTCAAATCTCCTATCTGAGGGTTTTCCACTCAGTAGCTTGAATTTTGCTATTTTACTATGGCTATTGGGTCAAGCAGGTTTTAAATTCAGATCCAGGGAATGCTGTGATCTCTGAGAAAGTGAGAGCAAACTTCAAGACTGAAGATATTAAAATGCTATTGCACACTACAATTGATTTGTGTGTGTGTACAATTAGCTTAAAGTATTAATGGAAAAAGTAGGTAGTTGCATCTAATGATTTTTTTTGAGTAATCTGAACCATCTGCCTCTATATATTAAGGAGTTCTTTCTTTAATCCAGATTATGGCTGACAAACTGGTTTTGGCATTCACGTTTCACTAGCACTATGCCCTTGAAGAGCTGATGTGGCTGTAGAAACTCTCTCACATACAACTGTTGTGTTTGAAAACATTTTTTTGTTTGGCTTTCTTGTAGTTTTTTTCTTATAGTTCCTTTCTTTTTCTTTTTTTTTTTTCTTCTTTTTTTCTTTTTTGAGAAGATGGCCTTTCTAATGAAAACTATGTTGAGCAACCAGGTAAAGAATTTGGGACTTGGAGGTGGAGGGGAAGAAAGCAAAGAAGAAAGCACTCCTTCTGATCCAGCAGCAGCTGCAGGAATGACCAGAGAGGAGTATGAGGAATATCAAAAGCAAATGGTTGAGGAGAAGTGAGTACCTGTTCCCTTATTATGAGTATGGGGCTGATTCTTGGTAACTTTGTGCAAATAAAAATAGCCCAAGAAGAAGGGAAACATGCTGCTCTTTACTATTTTTTTAAAAAGCAGATGAATCTTTGCTAGAAAGACTTTCCAAAAGAAAAGTTCCCCAACTGGAAATGGTAAAATACTACATTGCCTCTTCCTGCCCCCCCTCCCACCCATTCTTGCAACTCTCTCCTCTGCTTTCCTGCTATCTCCACAGCTTGATAGGCTGGACTCATTCCTAGGTGATGTTACTTTATCTAGAAAAATTTTCCAAGATGTTTGTAGTGCAGGATTTAATTCTGTTATGTGTATGATTTGTTCTAGAACTCCATGTGTGTGGAGTACACTTTCAATATGTAATATTTCACTGTCCACATTTATTACGGCAGACCTGAAAAAGTACCGAGTGCTCATTTATCTTGAGCAAAGGTTTAAGATGTTTTTGGTTTTTTGTTTTTTGTTTTTTTTTTTTTTTTATCTACTAAATAAAGCAGAACTTTAAAATCAATTAAGTCTCAATTTTGTCTGTAAAGACAATCTTTATCACTTGCTGTGTTTATGAAAACAAGTAAAACAGAAGATTTGGTGTGTGTAGGAGTTCAAACCATGCATAATTATAAATAAAACTATTGACTTTTAAATCTCAAATGCATCTGTTCCTCTAATGGTCAATTACATAATGGTTGCGTAAATCCTTCTTGTAAGATGATTATAGGTGCCAGGTTAATGACTGATGGAATTTGAGGTATCCAGGTCTGTATTTAGCATCAGACATTTCAATCAGGAAGACCTGAACAGGTCTCATTTGGTCTGGAAAAAAAGCACAGAATGTTTTGCTCTTCCTTTTGTCAAGTGATACCTAAAAGAGAAATGTCCACCTGCTGGCAGGAAGATGCTTTATGGAGACTGAGAAGAAACACAGGATTCCTGGGATAGGGAAATGCCTAGGAAAAGAATTACTTCTATACTGTTTTTAAGTGGGGCAAGTGTCCCTTCCCTGTTGAACTGTACTGAGGAAGCAGGGCAGGAATACCCCTATAGGACACTTAGAAACTCTAAAAGAAAAGATCACCTCTGGATGAGATGTGGTGCTGTGTCAGAAATCTCTGACATGGGCAGAGCATGCTCCTGTTTCAGGGCTCCATGGATTTTGCCCAGTGTTCAGCTGCGCAGGAGTGGAGACCAGAAAAGTAAATATGCCTTGCTGAACTTGTGCTCAGGCAGTTTTGAACCCATAAACAACCAGGCTTTGGTTACTTCTCAGATTTTAGGTTTGTTTGCGGGGGTTTTGTTTTTGGAGGGAGAGAAATCCAAGCACTCATTTTGGAAGCAGAGGAAAAGTAATATTTCATTTTGGAAGTATCTTTTATGTGCCAAAATACCTGTAGTGAAACAAGATCAACTTTGCAATAGAACTTCCATGAAAATGCTACCGGGGAAAAAAGAAATTAAAGGGAGAGGGGGGTGAAAGATGAGTGTCATCAAATGTTACCAAAAATCTTTGAGGAGACACGTTTTGCAGATAAATGCATGTGTAATCTAAAAAAAACAAAGGTGCAGACCAGTTCTTAAATCTAATGAAAACATTTTATAAAATCACAGATGAAGTCAGTGCTCTTCCATACAGAGAAGCTTCAGAATTCATTGCTCTTATGAAACAATTAATGCACAAAGAAAGACCAGGAAAATTCACAGGTGACAGAAGCACAGGAAGTGTGTCCCCTTGGCATCACTATATTGGTATTGCTCCTTTTTTGCCTTTGGACAAGTTACTTATCTTGGGGAATAACTCCCATGTGTAGCTTTTTGCAGCAAGCAACTGGTTTAGTGCAAAAGGTTGTTTTTATTAGCATATTGAAGAAATATTTTTTCTGATTTCCAGGATGGAAAGAGATGCAGCATTTGCACAGAAAAAAGCAGAGCGAGCTGTTCTGAGGGTTCACCTGAGAGAAAAGTACAGACTGCCCAAGGTAAGCCTGTAGCTCATGAGCTCATCTAGCCCAGAGGCCAAATTTCAACCAATTTTAAACTGTCCATTCCTTTTTCTTTAGTGAACTTGGCACTGTCAAATATTTCCAGGAAAACCAAAATATTGAAAGCACAAGCTTCAAGCAACTTATTTCAAATAATTTTTTAAATGATTGTGGTATTTTGTAGGCTTCTGCCATGGGCAGCAGAGAGGTAATACAGGACAGAGTACTCTTCCCAGGGGTTTGGATCACACATTTCCTCTGACCTGTCACTACTGGGAAGATGTTGGCATATTTCATTTATACCCCTCAAGGATATGTGGTTCTTAGCAATTTGAGAGTTTATTTGTATTAGTGACCTGTCAGCTACGAGTCATTACCACTCATTTTCTGATCAGTACTTTCCCATGTTTTTTTGATTAATTAAAATGGAGGAAGGTAAAGAATCTATCTCCTATAAATTTAGCTGCTAAAACATGTAGTGCTTAATCCAAGCAAGTCATTTAGGGACTTATCATCAACAGAAAGAGACCAGCACCTGTGGCCTCATCTAGCCAAACTTTTAAATAAGCATTCAAGGTGGAGCTGGGTCACCTCCCAGTGGCTGTGTCTCTTCCAGAGGGAAGCCAGGCAGCATCTGAACTCAGGTAAGATGCATTCCACCCCTAAGAGCCTGGTTCCTCTGGTGCTCTAGCTGGACAACATACCCTGAGGGTGAGTTTAATTACAGAAAGATTAATTATGCAAAAAAATTAAGTCCAAGATTTTAAGTGATTTATTGGATTGGAGGCCTAAGTCTCTAAACACCAGCATTTAAATTAGCAGCTGAGGAGTAAAATATCATTAGGCTTTGCTTTCCTTTTGGAGGCATAGGCTGAGACAGCTCCTGAACAGCATTTACCCAGTGTCTTGCCACAGCTTTCAGCCCCAAGAGGGGCTGCTTTGGAAAGCTCCAGGATACTTGAATGTCCAGGTCTCAACTAAACATCAGTGGAGCTGGGTATCTCTGGTTTTCAAATTCTCCCACTTGCAATGGTTTTTACAGCTGGAGATGGTGTCCAGGTCACCAGTCTCCCTTGGCTGAGCACCTCATAGACACACAAGTATGCAGTGGTGATCTGACCCATGTCCAGTAGGATCTTGGGCTCTCTGGGGCCATATTTCAGTAATAACAATAGAAGATTTGTCTCCAAGGTAGGAGAGTAGCTCTAAGCCAGAAAACAGTATTGCAGGATACGTTTTCCTGCATTTGTTTCTCTCTATACAGCATTTCTTGGTTTTCATCAGCCCTTATGAAAACGTGTTATAGCAGGAAGAGAATGAAACTACTACATGCATGCTAATGTGTCCCTGAAAAAAAAATCAGTGCTGTAATACAACATTCTGGCAAAAAATGCTCTCAGGCTTGTGATAATGCATTAAATATTTTGAAAATTGAAAGTAATTTCAGGTAGCCTAGTATAGTCTAGAAACACTGAATATTACCAATATCAATCACTAGCAAGCATTTTAAGTAAAAACATGGAATTCAGGACTAAGCAGGGCCCCCCTTTGCCACATAAGATCTAAAGCTCCATGCTATCTGGGCCAGATTTATAAGAGAAAGTAGACCCTTAATGAACCTAATCCTATTAACAGAGTTGTCAACTTAGGTTTGTCATCAGAAAGATGTTTTTAGCCATGAGACATTTGATCTATGGACAACTTTTTCATCTTTGGCATATTCAGTGCATCACATTAATACAAAACATTTTAAAATATTATATAAATACGGACATTAATATTTTAATAAGAATTGAAAAAAAAAACTCACCAAATTCTCTTATCCACTTGCTGCCTTTTTCCTGAACTGGGATTCAGTAATCAATTAATTTCTGCAAGGTCTAAACACAGGAGCATGATTTGATGGTGGAAAATGGAGCCCCAATGCAGATGTCAGGAAGGAGCAGTCCCCACTGCTCTGCACTGCTCACCAGCTCTGTGCTCCAAGCTGTGATCTCTGGATTCTCTGAGGGTGTTTCCGGGGAGGAAGGCTGGTGGTACCAACATTTGACTCCTTGTACCTACTTGTGAGGTACTTGCAGCCCTTCGGTGGCAAAAGGACAGTGCTGCTGCTGTGTTGCTAATTTAAGTCCCGCCCTCAGGTCAAGGCAAGGTGAACTCTGATTTTGTATGTTACTGGTGCATTATAGGTGATGAATCACAGGATAAGGTCTGGAGTCAGCTACCTAAGGATCTCTGCACATTAGCATAGGTAAATGTTATGACAGGATAAGCTAGGCATAAGTAAAGCAGTACATCACACAGGGATGCTGGCAAAGAGTTCGGTTCCCTTGTGGATTAGTCTGTGAGCTTTGATCTTTTTTGTTTACAAGTAGACTTCATACAAGCAGCGTTGAACCAGCATTTGGTATTCTTTGCTCCTTAAGCTGCACAGAAGACTTTACCATCATTGTTCAGAGGACTGAAAGTGCCATTTAACAAGCAATACCAAACTTTGATTGCTCTTCTCCCCTTGTGGAGGGCATTGTCTTCCTTTGAGGGAGCTTGACAAAAGTTTTTGGTGAAAGAAGCTCTCTCCCTGAGGGACATTGCTTTTCCTGTGGGCACGGACTGTGTCTCTCCCTGAGGGCCATTGCTTTTCCTGCCCAGCGGACATGGAGCTGTCTGATGTTAAACTGTATCCTTTACCTGTGGGAGACAGAGAAAGAATTTCCCCTGGGATATCAGATGGTGACCATCTCCTGCTTGCACTATCTTAATCCTTCTCCCTCTCTCATTCACCTTTTTTCTCATTTCTGTACTCACTTCATGCTACAAAATAAAGTTGGTATGCTTGAACTGGACCCGTGCACCTTAATTTGGGCAGAGGACTTTACTGTCAAATTGTAACCAAGCAGATATTTAGACAGTTTTCTGCTCACACCTGTGTATCGTTGTATATGTAAAGAACTCTATTGCATCTATAGCAAAATAGATCTGGGTCTGACTACATCAGAGGCATAATCAGGGTGAAAAAGTATTACCATGCACTCAGACTCTATTGCCTATGCTGTTGAATTGTCAGAATAATGTCTGACCCAGTTTTGGCCTGGGCACTCTCCCAAGCAATTCCCACGGCCAGTTTGGGAGTTAGGACAGGCGTTCCCAATCGGCAGTTAGATGGGACCACCCTGTTTGGTAGGGTGCAGAGATCAATAGCATCCCAGTGGGTTTTTCCAGGCCAGCTGGCCTTGGGGCAAGAGACAGTGCCAGGCATATTTAATTTAGTAAAAGAGATGTTGCTTCTGTGTTCACTTTTCCATTTCAAATAAAAGTAAACAAGAATCAAACACTCAAATTCTAGAAGGAACTGAAGAGGCCATATGTGCATCATGTGCTTCTTTGCTTCTTGTTGAGCAACCACACCCTGTTGAAGCTCATTGTAGGTCTATTAAAAATAAATGTCAAGTGGGTAGAGGCAGATAGCTTGGGCAGAACTGTACAGCTTTAGACTATATCTCAATATATTCTTTTTTGGCCAGAGAACCCTTTGAAGCCCCAAACTGTTGCACATCACATCCCAGACTTCCACAGGACAGTGGACTTTGGTGCAAGAACGTGCCAGAAAATTGTTCACATTGCCAAAGATGTGAATCACTACAGTGATTCAATTAGAAATAATTTTAAAGGAAAGAGCATGTGTGATTGTCTCATTAGGGGCACTTTTTCAGTAATTAACATTTTTTTATTATTCTCTATCGCTACTGATTGATGAGGATTTTGAAAGGGTTAACTCCTCTGATAGCCATCAGTTGCTGAATAAAAGCTTAAAACAATTTTTCCTGCTACAATCAATAAAAAATACCTCTTCTTTTCAGGAGATTGTTTCTAGCTCCCACAGATCTGACTCCAGCAACCCTTACTAAAAAGGTGAAGAGATGTCTTCACCCATTTTTTCCACATAGCAGTAACAATCCTGCTAGAGCTCCCTACAGTTTCACAGGAGATATGGGGGGAAATCAGATTAAAGGGAAGTACAGTCATTGCAAACATAAAGTGTGGAAATTTGGAACTGTAAATAGTGGTTATGCAGCTGACCACCCCCAGCCTGCCTGTCCTTGCTAAGGCCTGCAAAAACATAGACATTGCTCATATATGTTCTTGCATTCATTTGTCCTTTCATTCATGCAAAACCCATACCCCTCACTCTAAAAAACACCTCCTGCTGATAGCATTGCTGCTTATTCATATCAGGCCTTTGCTGCTGTCATGGTTAATTTTGGAGATGTAATGAGGCATTAATGCTTATCTTTGATGTGTGAACTGTGTCGAAATATCCTGTTCTTCTGAGATCTGGATCCATCAGAATCCACCAGAAAATGTGAACAAAATCACCATTGTTTGAAAAATTGACATAATCCCACTGATGGTGTATTTCAGTGGGCAGGCAGGAAACAAGTGTGTGTAGTGCTTACTGCATCTCAGCCCTTTTAATTGCTTAACCAGTTTCTTCTCCTGTCTCCTTCTGCTTTCCCAGACTCACAACCAAGCTCCCTCCTCTCTTTTGTTGCCCAAGTCCTCTTATTACCCCACATAGCAGCACCGCAACACTGATTATGTGCCAGGCAGCCCCTGCTCTTCATCACAACCCAGAGAGGCCAACCAAAGACCTAGACAGAGTTTAGACATCGTTTGGAAAGATGTGATTCATTCATCTTTCTTCCAGAAGGCTTCAGTTTAGTGCTGATATCTAAAAATCCCCCCCACCCCCACCCCGCCGCGCCCAACCATGGAATAAGGAAATGGTGCCACAGCTCTTCTAAAGCTCTTGTTTCATTGACCAGAAGCTGACAGGCACAGCACAACGGCTGACAGGCTCGATAGTGTCCTGCAGCATGGTTTTGGGGGCTACAAATAACCTGGAATGGAATTCCTGCCCCATCAGCATGGCAAAGATTTCTAAAACGGCAAGTGACACTGAGGGCTTCAGTTTTGACACTGCTGAATCCCTTCAAAGAAATATAATTGACATTGCCTGAAAAATCTTAGAACTTTCATGGAGGCTGATTGAGGCCCTGAATTTACAAGTTGCGCACAAAAAAAAATTGACTGAAAAATCTGTGCATGTTTCGGCTCTCCCTAAAAACCTAAAAAAAAATCAAAACAAGAGGCTCACTGGTAGATCCTGGAAAGAGGCAGAAATACTCTCATCTGCTGGTTTTGTTTTCTGCTTTAGAGTGAATTGGATGAGAATCAAATACAGATGGCTGGAGATGATGTGGGATTGCCAGAAGACCTTCAGAAGATGGTGGCAGAAGATCAGGAGGAGGAAGAAGACAAGGACTCTATCCTGGGCCAGCTGCAGAACATCCAGAATATGGACATGGATGCCATCAAAGAAAAGGCACAGGCCACCTTCACTGAGATGAAACAGGCAGCAGAGCAGAAATGTTCCATGATGTAGAAGAGCCACCACTGCCCAAAGGCAGTGTACCTTCAGTCTTGTGTTGCTGGGGATGCAGAGGGAGAGCAGGCAGAGGGAAGCACTTAGGTCTATAGCATTCAGTGTAAATATAGAAAAGTGATGAGAGAGACGCTTAAAACCCTGAGGGAAGAGTAAAATTTTACCTGCTGGGACTGCCTAGAAGGAAGTTAGAATTGATCCTCAGTTTTGAACATAACTTTTTCCCCCATGGAAAAAAAATGGCTTTATAAAAGTTAATATTGGGAAAAAAATGTGCCTTTTTCCATTTTTTCCACATGACTGAAATGCTATTAAATGTGTATGTTTGAACAAAATTGTACTTCTGATACATCACATAGAGGTAACCGCTCATTTAATCCTGCTTTCAGAAATAAACACATATATTTCTTTTAAAAACATGTCTGTTTCAAGCATCTTGAGGCAAACACAGTGTTCAGATATTGACATCTGCTGCAAAACCTTGACTTTTAAAATCATCTCTGTATTAAGTGTAGCAAAGGCAAAAAGTGAAGCATGTAACTCAACAGCTTGGGTCAAAAATGTTGTCATATGCACTGCGTGGGGACTTGTAGGAAAGTAAGGCTTGGTGGCTCTCAGTGAGCCCTGCTCTGGAGCAGTGCAGGCTTCTCCAGTGTGCTTTCATTTCCCAGCCTCTCAAAAACACTTCAAACATCAAGGGACAGCAATGACTCTCTGCTTGTCTGCTCTGTGTGCCAAATTCTGGGGCTGGGGGTACCAGCGCAAGGCTAAAACCAGCTCCCCACGCTGATTCTGGGAGTTGTCTCCATCAAAGGCTAAACATGGAAGGTTATGCCAGGGTGGGGCATCTAAACCTGAGGAAAGGCATAGCTCTCACTAATGTTACATCTGCCTGTGTCTATGGAACATGCAGGCTGCTACTCTCAAGGAATTCTAGAAAATGAATGGCTTTGTAAGTTCTCTAGGAGCTAGCCTGGAAATTAAATTTGGAAATGGATACATGCAGCACCTTCCTACAGGTTTATAAGTCTCTTTCTCTCTCTCTCTCTCTTTCTGTCCCCAATCAATCAAGTAAAAATAATAATTTTAAATTAACAAATGCACTAAGTATGATTTATCTTCTTTCTCTTTTCCTGCTTTCCTTGCTTGCTTCCCTCCTTTTCTCTTTGTCTTTTCTCTCTCCCCTCCCCTTGCTTGAAAACCTGTTATCTATTTTCTTCCCCATTGTAGCATTAAGAAAATACGCCCTTTTTTCTTACTCATTTAGTTCTTACCTAGGAAACACAGAATTTACAAGTTCTGACCTTCCTTGCTCTTTCTGGAGGATGTGCTAGTGCATTAAATGGCTCTCATCCAACAGGTAATTTCTTTAGTGCACAAAACTTATCTTTAGCAGGTCCCTCAAGCATCAGAGCTATTTTGCCTAAAACCACCAAGACTTCTGATTCTATTTCTTCCTCTTGGGATTCTGCTCTCACATGGCACCACAGAATCTAATTATCTATGTGGAAAGACAAGTGAGCTCTTTTAGGAGGTCTTCACATAAAGTAAATAAAATAGTCACCATCTCAGTTCAACCAGCCTGAGGTTTGTGAAGCTCAATGCATTTCCCTCTGCATTGGTATAAATCTGGGTGGTGTCTCCACACTGTTGTGTTGCTTTACAGACTGAATTGTCCTATCTATGAAACACCAAAATAAACAAGCCTAAGGGTTTTGACCTTTGAATTAAAATGTGCTTGGAACTTCCCAAAAATCTTACTGAAAGCATCTGGTGCTTTAAAAGATCTAATTAAATTTGTCAGCAGATATAGGATCAGCATTTTCACAGTTTAAAGGGTCAGAGAAGAAAGTACAGTCAGAATCACCAAACAAACGATTAATGAGACTCCAAAAAAAAGTGTCAGGGCTGGCAGAGACAAGCAGGACTGGGAGGTGGCTTGGGACTGGCACAGGATGGGAGCCCACCCCCACCGAAGTGCTGCGGGTACAGGAGTGAGCTGCCTTAGGCACCACTGTTAGACCAGAGCTCCCACATTTAGTCTGGAGTGGCAGAGCCAGGGTAGGGGGGGGCAAATCTGTGCTGCCCTCAAGAGGAGCCTGATCTTCGGCTCGCTGGAGGTGGCTGCCTGCTCCTGGCAGCACCTGCAGGGCTCATCCCTCCAGCACCGGCTGTTCCCATCTTCAGCTGCTGCCCACATGCCTGGGGAAGCACGAGTAGGAGGTGGTGAGGCCACCCCAGGTACATGCAGCTCTCAAGGTGCTTAGCTCTGGGGACAGGTCACAGGGCAGCCACTGCATGTGCTGGTATGTGAGTCTGGGAATGTTTGTGTCCATATCCGTGCACAAATGCACATGTACGCGCATGCATGCAGCTATGCACGTGTGAGAATGGACAGGGACATGTCTGTGTGTCCATGTGTCTTTGTCAGGAGCAGATTAAAGGGTTAGGTCACATGGCAGCTACTGCTGCACCGACCCTACCTGGGATTTGGGTTCTTAGAGTTAATAGGATCGCTGGAGCTCAAGACCGTCATCCCATCAAGATAAATGTCTCTAGTGCCCACTCTTAAGCAATCTGAATTCAATTAGGCTAATTGGAAAACAAGTAAAGAAGGATTGCGTTAATATAGCCTTATAGCATGAACCTCCCCTCCCTCCCTATGAGCATGGCAAGCCCAAATGCCAGCACTCTTGCACCCAGTCCATGGTGCCCCCGCCAGAAAGGGCTGCCTGGTTCCCAGAGCCTATTCCACACCCACAACCTGGACAGACAGCAGGACAACAAGATCTCTGTGCAACTCCTGGGTGCCAGACAGGACTCTGGGAGGTGGAGAAAACACAGCTGATTCTCCTGGACAGATCAAGAAAAGTCTCAGCAGAAAAACAACAAAAGTGTGAGTGATACAGTGACAGGAGGAGACAGCAGCTTCCTCATGCATTATGCTTTCAAGAAGGTTCTGAAACTGCACCCTTAGGAATTTTTGGGGAGGAAAAATTCCTTTTTTGGGGTTGTTTTTAACAATCTCCTGGATGATACAGAGCATGCAAACTGCAGGAGAATACAGGTTTGCTCTAGGTGAATATTTCCTCCTTTTCCTTGCTTCCCTCTTGTTGATTTGCAGTCTGACCGTGAAAGCCCCATTTGTCTTTCAGGGAGGTCCCCCCCTATTGCACATCTTTGGTCTGGAGAGTGATGTCTCTCCTGCAGTGTGACTTCAGCTTCAAATCTCTGCCCTGCAAGGCAGCAATTATTTCACCTGGACATAAAGAAAAGGCAGGAGAAAAGGAAGGAGGAACCTGTGGCATTTTATGATGGTGATTTCATTGTGTGAAACTACATCCCATGCATATGTCTCAATATTGACTACAGGATGAAAACTATTTCCCTTTAGTCTTCACTATATATGTACAGGAAGGAGGTACAGCATACAGCTGCACTTTACAGATGGGCCATCTTGAGAACTTCTGTTACTTTCCGAGCATAACTTCAGCAGAAATTTTAATAATGCATTGCAAAAGAAAAATAAAAAAGGTGATGGAATGGGGATACCCCTTGGAAAGGCAAGTAACAAACCCTACCTCAAGAGAGAACGAATACTCTCAAGTTTGATTCTGGGTGCCCCCACAAGTTTCCAAAGGTCAATGGTCTTTGCAAAGCTGGGATGTACCACAGGATCAGTTTCTGAGGCTTCATACTAATACGATACAAATCCCAGAGGGCTGCAAGCAATTCAACTGACAGCCAGGACATCAGACCCAAAGGAAAAAGTTCAGTTACCATTCTTTGCCTATCTAAACCCTCTGTGCAATCAGAGGAGCCATTAGACTTCTTCCCTCCCTGGAGCACTGTAATGCCTCATGCATGTCACACAGTCTGTGCCTGAAGCATGGCAAGAGAGAAAAGACAGATCTAGAGCTGGAAGAGTCAGAGTTCTCTCTGCTCTGCTACAGGGTTACGGGGTTTTTTTCAGGTACTTTTTCAAATCGGGATCAAAGGAGTGGCTTCCTCTTTCAACAATTCCACTCGCCTGCAAGGAGGATGCTACAGTGACAAATATAGCTCCACATGGAAAACACAAGTGGAATATTCTACTGCTGAGGAAAGAGGAGCCTTCTCTGTCAGGGAGGAAGGTCTCTTGTGTCCTGTGTGGGACGCAAACACCGTGCTCCAGGGCTAGAAGACTTTTTTTCTGCCTTCATATTGTGATTAACAGCAAAAAATCGAGTATTGACTCTGTAACTGACCACTTTGACAGGTACCCCAAAAGCAGCATCTCTGCCAGGATCTAATGCCCTTTATGGCACTGACTAAAGGGTTTTTGCTCCTTCATCTCACATTCCTATCTTTCTCAACTACAAGCAAAACTGATTCCTAATTTTGCCCAGGACTTCTGGAGGGACAGGTGTGTTTTGTGCTGATTTTGAGTGCTGTAAACTCCCAGCTTCAAATTAGAAGAAATTAGGGACATTGCACAGTTCATTCATCTTCACTAATAGAGTTCCTGGGAAACACACATGTAGATTAAAGGAACACAATGGCCCCTGGCTGATTGCTTTGAGTACCCTCCAATGTCCCTACAATGGTATTGACTGGCTTTTTGTAGTGTCCACAAAAGCCACACTAACCTTTTCTTGTCTCTTCTGTTGGCCTCTTCCCTCTGTGCAAACGGATGTCTGAGTTCTTTCGGCCTCAAACCAACCCCCAAGCAGTCAGTGAAGGCAAACCTCCCCTGAAGCTAGGAAAAGCTCTGCACTCCTAAAAGAAATCTACTTTGGGACACCCGAACATAAACCTGCAAAAGGTGTGGACACTGGCAGAAGCAAGCACTGCCAATCTTTGAAGTGATTCCTCTGAAAAAAATCTACATTATATGGAGCCTGTTGGGGCAGAAGGAGAACTAAAAAAATGCAGATTTATTGAGAGAGGTCATACTTATCAGACTAGCTAACACATCTGGAAGAGCAAGGAGTAGCAGTGGTGTTTTTCTTTCACATACACTCTCCTCAGGCTTCAAATGGAAGCATCCCCAAAGCTAAGTGTAGACTGAAAACCACTCTGGATGTTACTGGGTCTGTCACATAAACAAGCTGGGACAAAAGGTAGCTGGTGCCTCAGAGGAACTGGGAAATGCTAGTATGAAAATGAGAGAAAGAAAAAAGCAGGGAAAAGATCGATGCAGGAGACGTGATGCTGTTACCGGTAGGTCCTGTGGTAGGTCCACGCCTTCCACCAAGCCAAGTACAAAGAGAAATGTGTGGGATTTGGCTCCCTGCCTCACCTCCAAAAACACTCTCTGCATCCCCCATGAAGCTATGCCCTGCCTGCTACCCCGCCAGCCGCACTCACACCGTGGAGCACAGGGTCACCGAATCAGCTCTTCTCACAGGCTCTGTGAGAAGCGGCATACTTGAAAATACTCTGTGGCATACTTGAAAACTTCTTCGCAAATATTGCTTAGTGCTCCCTCGGGTTTGTGAAGTCTGAAATGCTGAACCCACCTTCTGCGTCTATCCTGCCCAGAAGCACCTGGTCTGTGAAATGCCTTTGGAGGCAACAGGGCGCAGTGTCCCGCAGAGTCGGGCCGGGGCCGCGGATCGTCCCGCAGGGCAGCTTTCGAGCGGCCGCCGTGAAACCGACGCACCTGCAAACCGTCCGGGAGGATCTGGGCTGAGGCCGTCGGACAAGAGAAAAGCGGCGAGGCTCCGAGAGCCGCCGAACAGCGCGGGGCCATACCAGGGACCCGCTGTCCTCCGGCCGGGCACCTCCGGGCTCCCGCCCCTTCCCTTCCCGTTCGCTGAGTCCCCTTTACCGCGCCCCCGGCAGCGGCTGCCGCGGCTCTCGCCGTCCCGGCTCTGTCCCCCCGTGCCCGGCGCGCCTCTCGCCGCCCGTCCCACCGCGATTTCAGACAGCGCCGCCCCTGCCCCGGGGCTCCGACCGGGGCGCTCGGCCCGGGCCAGCCCCCGGCTGCAGCGGAGGCCGCCCCGCTCCGCCTCGGGCTCTCCGGATGGCATCGCCCGGCGCCGCCTGGGGCTGGGACTGGGGCCGGGTCCGGAGCCGGCGGGGAGGGGCGGGGCGGCCGGCGGGGGCCGGGGGATGCCCTGCCTCCCCCTTCACGCCGAAGAGATGCGGGGGCCTCGCCTTCCCTCTCGCCTACCGCCCCCTGGCACTCCTCCCCCGCCCCAAGGAGGCCAGCCCGCCCGGCGACACCGTGCCAGACTTGCCCGCGCCGCCCTGAGGCCGGGTAAGACCGCAGCGGCGCGGCGGAGCCCCGGGCCGGCCGCCTCATGCACCCACCCGGCGCCCTGCCCGCCATGGCCGAGGGCGCCTTCTCGCTGGCCGCCCCGGCGGCGCGGAGCCCCGGGGGAAACCCGTCGAGGCTTCACAGCATCGAGGCTATCCTGGGGTTCACCAAGGAAGACGGGCTGCTGGGCGCCTTCCCGCCCGACGGCAGCGCCAAGGAGGCGGACCGGCGAGGGCCCCGGCATTGCCTGCCCAAGATGCCCGGAGAGCAGCCGCCGGCCGAGCCCCAGGGCCGCGCTGAGCGCTTCCAAGGTGAGCGCTGTGGACGAACGCCGGGTACCGGGGGGCGGACGGGTGGGCGCCGCTCCCCCACGCCCCCTGGCAAGCTCCGCGGGGAGATCCCGCCGGTGACCCCCCGTCTTCCCCTCGCAGAGCCGTACTGTCCCGGCAGCGCCAGCCCCGAGTTGCCCGCTGGCAGCAGCGGCGAGGGGAAGCCGTCGGAAGAGGAACAGCCCAAGAAGAAACACCGGCGAAACCGCACCACCTTCACCACGTACCAGCTTCACGAGTTGGAGCGTGCCTTTGAGAAATCCCACTACCCCGACGTGTACAGCCGCGAGGAGCTGGCCATGAAGGTCAATCTGCCCGAAGTCCGCGTCCAGGTAACGCCCGGCCCGGCCCCCCGCGACGGCCGGGCCCCGACGGCCCCCGGCCGGCGCCGGGAAGCCACACACGGCCCANNNGCGGGCCCCCGACGGCCCCCGGCCGGCGCCGGGAAGCCACACACGGCCCGGCCCGACGCGCCTCGGCGCAGCCCCGTGGTCCCGGCGACCGGAGCAGCCCCGGTGAGGCGCGCGGGCCCGTGACCGCAGCAGGGCTCCGGCCACACTCGGGGCCCCGCTGGAGCGCTGGACACGGCTGCCGCACAGCCGCGCGCCGGCCCGGCCGGCGGGACAGCGCGGGGCTCGGGGCAGACCTGCGTCCGGCAGCCGCATCGTCGGTGCTGCTGCCCTTTGAGCGGCGTGTCCCAGCTCGGGGCTGCTGAATCTGCTGTGTGCCAGGGCAGTGGCGGGTGGATGGGCGGGCCAGCTTCACTGCGGGACTGCTTTCCACCAAGCCGGGGCTGTGGGTCGTGGAGGAACTTCCGAGCCCCCCAAATTCCCTTTTGCCCCAGGTCGGCAAGGCGTGTTTCCCTCACTCCGTTTTGCGTGTACCACTGCAGCCAGAGGCGAACCTCTTTCCACTGCCTGGGGCCTGGCTGATACAGCTCTGCTTGCAGGTTTGGTTTCAGAACAGAAGGGCTAAGTGGAGGCGGCAGGAGAAACTGGAGGTGACCTCCATGAAGCTGCAGGACTCGCCCATCCTCTCATTCAACCGCTCACCGCAGGCAGCACCCATGGGTCCTCTGAGCAGCAGCCTGCCCCTGGAGACGTGGCTCAGCCCACCGGTGCCCAGCAGCACGGCCCTGCAGACCCTGCCTGGCTTCGTGGCCTCGCCGCAGAGCCTGCCCGGCAGCTACACGCCACCGCCCTTCCTGAACTCTCCGGCAGTGACCCACGCGCTGCAGCCTCTGGGGGCCATGGGGCCACCACCGCCTTATCAGTGTGGAGCCACCTTTGTGGACAAGTTCCCTTTGGATGAGGCAGACCCACGCAACACCAGCATTGCCGCCCTGCGGCTGAAGGCCAAGGAGCACATCCAGTCCATTGGCAAGCCCTGGCAGACAATCTGAACTCCCTCTCAGCACCTGGGAGAAAGCCATGGGGAAGACGCATCCCAGAACGCCTGAGGGACACGCTTACCCTGCCTTGGCTGCCACGGATGGATGGCCAGGCACAGGAGGGCTGTCCCATACACCCGCCTTTCCCCTACGCCTTGACTTGCTTTTGTATTTTGTGGTCCTTTTAATTCCCTTTTCCACAACACCTGAAGAGTTAGGGGCCTGATCATAGCTTAGGAAAAACAATCTCTTTTGCTCTCCCTCCTTGGCTGGATGCTTTAGTTGCAATAAAAGCTACAGCAGGGCAAAGAGCTATGTAAGGTGGCTGGGAGCTCAGGACTGCTGTACCTGGGGAGGGGGTTCTACTTTTACACCATTAAATGGCACATTCTGCATGGAGGCTGTGTATCATGTTTCTGAACCCAAATGGGCATCTTGGGCTGGACCCTCTGCTCCGTGTGATGTACAGAGGGGTGGGAGATGCCTGGCTGTGGGCTCTTCTCTGTTCTCCATCAGCAGAACCCTGCCCAAGCTGGCTGTGGCACTGGGGCCTGCATCCCCATGATGGAGAGTGTGCCCAGATGGGAATGGGCACAGCGGGGCTGAGACCCTTGCAGTCCTTGGGCCAGGCACACCACTCCCACTATTGCCCTTGTGGAGCAATGCCAGGCTCAGGTAGGCTCTGCAGGCCAAAGTCAGTGACAGTCCTTGCCTCTGCAAAGAAGGGGAATGGCAGGACCCCCAGGGCTCCTGCCCCCTGCAGCCCAGCTGCCCACAGGGAGAGACAGACAGCCTCAGGTTGGACACTGACACCTGTCTGGGGCCTGGCAGGCTTATCCTGCCCACTCTGGCTGCCCAGGATAGCCCCTGGAGGCTGGCACAGAGCTGGGCCATGCCTGCTCCCCTGCCCACCCAGTGCCCATCGCCAGGCTGCCTGAACTAAAACTGCGGCGTCTTTATTTTTCATTATCTCCGTTACTGCCTGTAATGGGGCTGAGAAGCTGTAATGAAACACCCCTTCTCCTCTGCTGGGCATGGGGTGCTCTACACACTCGGAGGTTGTGGCAATTAATGTTTCTCATTAGGGAAGAGAGAAGGATGCACAAGTGCCCTCATTGTGTCCTGGGGATGATTCAATGCAGACTGGGAGACCTCTCCTTTCACCATTTCCCACTCGTTGTGGCCAGACAAAGGCTGGCGTCTAATTATATTTTCACAATCTGTGCGTATCTTTTAAGAGTCCAGTCAGAAACAAGTATGTCAGCCTTGTTCAGCTTCACTTCAGAGAGCTTTTTAACCTCAGACAGCAGTTTCTAAACATCCCTTCATAGTTTTCTCCACAGCAGTCCCCATCTATTGTATGGAGAGCTCCTTTTACAGATAATAGGAATCCTTCTTGTTTTCAAACGCCTTTTCCTCTGTCCCCAGCCTCCCTGCAGATCCAACCTGCCTCGCTGGACCAGAGCACACACTGTTCAGGACCCCCAGCTTCCCTCCCCTGAGCTGTGCTGGTCCAGGGCATGCAGGAAGCCAAGTAAGTGGTCCCCCCTGAATTTGAGGGGAATTAAGCCCTGCTGGGGAAGACTGTCCTGCTGGGCTCTGGACTTGACATTTCTACTGTGTGTGCATTTGTGGCTGTGCCCACCCTTCCCCAGCCCACATCTCTTTGCTTCCTTGACAGAGAGGAAGTGCTGCCAGGAAAATAACTGCCATTGCTGTCAGGAACAGGGAGGTATTTTGCTAACTTCTAGTAAGGACACCTAAAGGAGAAGAAAAATCATATTGCTTCAGTTTTTAGGTCTTATTCTAGTGGTCCTTTCACAGGTAAGCTTTGCTTGCATCACCAGTTGCAAGAAGGCATGGCATTTTTAGTGACTGCAAGAGAAGGATTTCTCTTGGTGTGCTTGAGAAGTGCCTGCATAGCCGGGTTTATGTCAGCAAGAGACACACACTATTGAGTGACTGCACAGGCTCTCCACACTCCTCCTTCTCAGGGTAGGAACAATCTCACTTATCATTACTTGGCTGTAGTCCAGCTGTGGCTCTGAAGCTGAAAACCCTCCTGCAGGCAAGCACATTAAATTGCTGCCCTAAAATTCTCGCCTGTCCTTATTGCTCATGGTTAATAAGCAACTCCCCAAGATTTCCATAGTGCTTTCCCATATTTTGGCATTACTACCCTCCCTTTCTCTTACCTACAGTTCTTCTGTATCCTGTGAAGCCATTGGAAAGAAGCCCTCTAATTCCTGATCAGCTGTCACCAGCGCTGTGATGCTTGGTTACTTGAGATAGTCGAAGAGTGGCAGTAGATAAAACCACAACGACAGGGCAGCAGAAGTAGCAGCTGAAGACACCTGCTCACTTTTAATAAGGCCCTGATCCAGCACCTGCAAACAAATAAATATTATGGCAAAGATATAGTGGTCGTTCTTTTATTGGCATATTAAACAAGTGTTTGTTATACCTTGTACAGGTGAACCCTGTAAATGGATCGACTTTGTGCAGTCATATCCTTCAAGGAAAGCTGCGAGTTTATTGCTAAAAATGAATATTTTACCAGCTACACAGAAATGGGCAAATAAAGAGACAGAGGGATATGCAAACGCGTCTTTCTTCTAGCCTGTCTAGTTTTCTGTGTTCCTACACTTTCTTTCAAATTGTCCCATTCCATTTTAAAAGCCCATTTGTTCATTTTGTTGTAAATATCTTCTCCTCCTTAATTGGGTGCTGAGTCTAATAATCCTGCCTCGGCTTGTTAACTGTACAATACCAGTCAGAGTTAATGACCCATTAGCGATTAATTCCTTAAACAGCATCTAATTGCTCACTGTAAAACCTTTTCTTAAAACTGGATTAAATCATCTAGATCCTTAACCACTTCTTTACTCTAACTTTGCTAAGGCTATTAGCATGGCCTTCTGAGTGGTCTGTTTCTTCTTTTGCTTAAACTGTATTAGCAACGTAGTATTTTTAGTGTCCATACTTGACTTCTTTTCAACACCTGAAGTTATAAGGAAGAATAATACAGAAAAATACTGCCAGAGGATGAGTAATTATGAGGAAAATGCCATAATGGAATTTGTGCTCAAGAGTGTATTCTGGTCTCCCTTCCTTCTCTCTATCCCTGCTCAAAATCCTCTCAAAATTCAAGAAAACGAGCAGATGCCTGAGCTCTTTAATTTTGACTTGAGGTTCAGCTCGTTGGCTTCCCGGTGGAGCAGGACTGTCTCTGTGTGCAGGAGGGACCCTCAGTCCCTGCTGGATGGTTTGGAAGCTGTCATACCCTCTGGAGCAGCAGGATGGCTGTTGTGTGTGCTACTGCCATGGTAGCTCACAGCCCCTGTGACATGAAAACATGCGCTGCTCAGCCATAGTTTGAATTTCTGCTACTAGCTGCTGGGGTTGAGGGCAGTACTGTTCCCTTCCTCTGCGCAGAAAGTTGAACGATTTTATTTCCATCTGCCCTGGCTACACCTACAGCCATTTCAATTATGGACATTCAGTTTCTTACTATTGCAACATCTCAAGTAACAGCTCAAAGCTCCTCATTACATCTTTCCTCATCTCTAGGGATGTACTATGAACAAGTGTTAATTCAAGGGGGTTCCCTTCAGCTACAGCGTTTCAGCTTCTCTCTTCTATGCAGTCAGCCGTCCTCCTTTGTCGCTGCTATAAACCTTGGGATTTCCTTCAGTAGTTTGTCAGCCACAGAGTACCCACCCGCAAAATGCTAGCATTGGAGAAAATAGTGGAACAAAACAAAAACAAAACAAAACAAAACAAAACAAAACAAAACAAAACAAACAAACAAACAAAACAAAAAAACAAAAAAAAAAACCACCCCAACCAAATAATGAAACAAAAAACCCCAAACAAAAAACCCCAAAAACCCCAAAACAAACTAACATCCCCCCACAAACAACAAAAAGCCAAACAAAAACACAAACAAACAAACAAACAAAGTGAACTCAAAAGCTCGTTGGACCAGAACGCTGATACTACCAGTCTCTCTAGTAGAATTAATACCATGTCCCCTCTCTGAGTATCTCTGTGTTCTGCTAAGACATTATGTTAAAACTGGCTGACATTTGGCAGTCATCCCTGTGTCATATGACTCTTCTGCCCCTTAAAGATTGGGATTGCGGAGCCGGGCAGTGTGGTGCGACTGAGATACGGCATACAGCCGCAGCCACGGGGCTCACCGGGCACCGGAGAGCACCGGGACACCCTGCACGCCGGGGCTCAACCGATCCCGGGGCTCACCGCAGCGCTCCCCTCACGGCCGGGGCTCAGCCGGTCCCGGGGCTCACCCGAGCGCTCCCCTCACGGAGGGGGCTCAACCGATCCCGGGGCTCACCCGAGCGCTCCCCTCACGGAGGGGGCTCAGCCGATCCCGGGGCTCACCGCAGCGCTCCCCTCACGGCCGGGCCGAGGGCGCCCCCTGCCGGCCGCGGGCCGGGGCGGCGGGGACACAAGGGGCACGGAGGCTCCCGGCGGGGACAGCGCCATCCCCGGGCACACACGGGGCACGGAGGCTCCCTCCCGGCGGGGACAGCGCCATCCCCGGGCACACACGGGGCACGGAGGCTCCCGGCAGAGCGGCTGGAAGTACAACACACGCGCTGTCCCGGGGAAAGCTACTGGCTTTTACACAGCGAATTTCACTGCTCAAATAAAAGCATAAAGTCCACCTTTTTCCTGTTACTATTTATTGCGAATGTTGCAATGTCATGTAGTTTCAAACTAAGAGATGAAATTATTTGATAGGTAAGTAATATAATTAATTGGAAGACCCTTCCGTGACAATTTTATATATATATATATATATCAAAGCCATTCAAATGAGAAAATGCAACCTTGAAAATGAAGTAGAGGATTTAGTCCTTGCTGAACCATACAAGAATATGTGTATTTAAGTACTTTACACAAAGGAATTCTTGTGTACAGAAAAGTGACCGTGTTGATTATCTGATACAATCAAGTGCTTGTGAAATATAGTCTCTTACAGAAAGTATTCGATTTCTTCATGATTTAGTGATCTTCTTTCAGCTTGGAGCGCTCTCTTTCATATTCACAACTTGAAGCAGATAGTCCATCATCTAATAAAAAGAAAAATACATTATTTATAGTCCAGTCCTGAATAAAGTAATTTGCTAAGATAATAAAGCTTCTATAAGTTAATAAACCTAATAGATAACTGCTGTGTGCATTCACATAACAAACATATTCCTAATAATCTTTCCGAAACAGACCCCATTTGTCTTGGTTAGTGTAATAACCAACTGCCAAAGTAGGAGGAAAGTCATTCTCCCAAATAATTCTGTGTGCCATCTCATTTATATCCTGTCTCATTAGTGTGAAAAAGCCAACTAATATAAACAATTTAAAGCTTATTTGCCAACTTACTTTTGCACTTAGTCCAACTTGCAGGAGAGATCTGCCATCCCTTTTAACTACATTAACTGTAATTTATTCACAGAATAAAGAGCAGGCAAGGCATTAACTGAAAATAAAATAACACAGGTGCACCATCCTAAGCCAAACCCCAAGAAGTATTGGGCTCACCTCTTCAATTTTTTGACTATTTGTGTGTTACAGCTATTTCCCTCCTCTGAGTGAGTCCTTTAGAAAGAATCCTTTTATTCTTAAGAAATATGCAGCCCAGTGTGAGCACCAGTGGTGATGCACCGGATGATTTGGGCTAATAAGAGAGACCCTGAATTGAGTTGCTTGAGGCACTTATCTGTATTTAGTTCTAGCTTTGGCACTTCCTGATCTTAAATTTAAAATTCAAGTTATGAATTAAATCAGCTATATTTGAAAGCATCCATGGAACAAAGTTCTTGGAGTCTGTTTTTCCCAACACAGGCAGTGTTTGCTGTGTGCAGCAGGTGGAGCACAGGGCTGCAGGCAGGCTCCTGTGGCTGGCATCTCTGTCGGTGCACGGGAATGCAGCCCTCGGTGGGCATGTGCCCCTGGGACAGCCATACCAGAAGCTGGTGGCTGGGTTCATTATTTACCTCCTTTTGGTCACATTTAGTATCTCAGTCTAACAGGCCACTGCACAGGGAACAGTAACCCGCTGCAATTCTGGTGTCCGGTTCCTCCTAGAAAAAGTTTCTGTTCCAAACTCACAGCAAATACGCTTGGAAAAGTATTTTATGCCAAGGACAAATTTTCTGGATGCGCTGTGCATCATCCTCAGCTTCCTTTACCTGGTAATCTTCTCCTGTGCATGGACTCCTTCCACAGCTGTGGTACAGCAGCACCTTACCCCACAGTGTTGTCTAACCAAAGCCTGTGCACCTGAAACCCCTCACGTCCTGACAAATCTACACAATCAACACCCAAAGGCCAGTATGCATTTGTTCCACCATGCACATGAATGTCACATTCTGTATATCAGAGTTACACCTTTATAAATAAGGCCTCTTTTGTTCAAAATAACTTTAAAATGAAAAATATTTCTCACTATTTAAATGTTTAGGAAACTATCGCAGCCCTCAAAAGAGTAAAGCACATTCCTTTTGATCTTCATGTTTTCTTCATCTAGAAGGAAGACCTCAGAAGTATACCTTAAATTTCAGGTGCTTTCTTGAAGCCAAGGGGAAAACAGGACATCATATCCTGTCTAGGCTGTTTGTGTCCAACAGCAGGAAATTACAGGTACAGCTCCTTTCATTAGATTTTACTTCAGGGTGGAGACAAAGAAACTGTTGAAAGATGGACATCAGAAGTTCTATGGCCAAATGAGGTTCTGCAAGTTGTCTTCTATCTTAGTCACAGGAAAAACATGAGCTTTTTTTACTAATCCTTGCAGAAATCTGGATGGTTAAGGCAATAACCTCATTATTCCATAAGGATGTTCAATGTCTGACCACAGAAATGCGGATGTTAATTTACGGTGAAAGTACACATATATGGATATGATTCAACTTACCGGAGGCAACTTCCAGCCTTCCTAAGTAGGATTTATTGACAGATACTTTTAGAAGTCAGAACATTTCCCTCTTTACATTAAATAATGGAATTTGTTCATTTAATTTGATTACAAAGCTGCACACTGCAGAACTGGAGATGGAATAAATAGTTTCTCTTTTAGATATTATTAATAATCAGTTACTATGATGCATCACTACCATAAAGCTACAGATTTAAATCACAGCTTAATTTAAAGGGTGAATTTTTACCCACATTCAAATAAAAGCCTAAGTATTCACTGATTTGATTGCACCAGGATTTCAGGAGGGAAACCAGGCTGAAAGTTAGCCCAGGAATATTAATGACATCATATTGCAGTAGAATACGGGAAGGAAAAATTCTTCCCATTAATGTCTTTAAGGGGGTGTATTAATCTTTTTATTCTATTTCACTGTCACCCGAAAGAATTCTGAAGCTTTATCACCATGACTGTGCCTGAGATATAAGGAAAGGAATTTTCTTGAGGACCCTGTGATTTACATTAGACCCCAACTACTTTCTTTAAAGCCTCAGTTATCCTTCCCAGTGTATTTTATAGGATTTCCCAAAATAACAGGGATTAATCTGTTCCAAACCTTGTTGTCTTGTGCAACAGCACTAGGAAGAACATCAGCTTGAGGGATGAGGAGGGGCAGCTTATCAGTAACCCCAGACTCCTTTAGCAAACCCAGGAATGACCACAGCAGTAGCCAGCACCATGGGCTGGAGAAAAGGCAAAGGAAACAGGGACAAAGCTGGCACCAGAGAAAATTCTGCAGTCCTGTGGCTTTACTTAGCCCAAGGCAGAAGGGTGATGGAAGGGGGCGGTCAGTGTGATGCTGTTCCTCCTGCCCTCACACTTGTTTTTCACACCAGCTTGGCTTTGCTGGGCAATATCTGCTGCCGATGTGATCACCTAAGCGTAATGAAAAAAGAAAAGGAAAAGGAAAAGGAAAAGGAAAAGGAAAAGGAAAAGGAAAAGAGAAAATGCCCCAACCAAGCAGCTTGAAGGGAGCCCAGGCACTAAAATCTGTTGAATGCATGCTGTGTTTATGCCCACTAGCAAATGAAGTCATCAAAAATACAGTCGGTGAGTGACAATCTGCAATCAAGGGCAGAGTCTTATTGTACTGAATGTCTAATACATGAAATGTTTTCTGCTGCTTTTCTGGACAATCCACCAGCTGATATGCTACTGTAAACCAAAAACTGAAAACATGGAGTATCTTTACAGGTTTTATCTTACTTACATGTTTCCAACTGCTATTGTCATCTGTCTCCCAGGTGTTCCTGGTATACCAGGGGAGCCCTCCTTTTGAATAGTGACTTTTATTTTCATTCCTTTCTAGCAGCCTTAGCAAATATTTTGAGATTTCTTCCCACTGCAGATACTCTTCCAGCTGCTTGATATTGTCAGGTAATGCTGAAAATGGTGTCTTGTTTTCTTCTTCAAGACCGTAAGGAAAATCTCCAGTGCTTTTTTTCCCCATTAAATGTCCTGTATCAACAATTAAAGTAGCATAAAATTAACCAAAAAGGGTAAAAATTTGATTGTTCAAACATCAGTGGGACTTTGCTACTGATAGGGAAGGGAAGGGAAGGGAAGGGAAGGGAAGGGATAGATGATGTCGAGTTGTAGCATTACTGGGAGTGAAGATTTTGTCAGTGTCACACAGTACTATTAATTTCTTCTGTCTCTTGTGTTACATGGTCAGAGAAAAAGTGGCTGAGAAAGGGGCAGCGATTACCAAGAGCTTTGTCTGGAGACAGAGAGAGGCTCTTGCTAAGATTCGCCGGAATAAAAGGGGACGGAGAAGCTGAGGTTTTAGACTTACCCTGCCTGGACACGGGACGCAGGAACCGCGCGTTCCAGCGCCTTTGCAGGAGTTAAAGCGCACTTACCCACAGCCCAGTGGCTGCCGCGGGGGTAGATCTTGGTGAGCGCGGGGGTCCCGCCGGGCTGCAGGGGCGCCGCTCCGCCCTGCGCCGTCAGCAGCGCCAGCGCCAGCAGCGGCAGCGCCGCGGGCCGCCCGCCGCGCATCCTGCCCTGCCGCCGGTGCCGCGCTCCGCTCCGGCTCCGCCGAGGCCGCCGCCGCCGCCCTCCATTTATCCGGAGCCGGGCCCCGAGCGGAGCCCGCGCCTGACGCCTCCTCACGGGGCCGCTCCGCCCGCGGGGGGAGCCGGGGCGGTGCCGGCCCGGGCGCTGCCCCGGGCGGGGGGGCCGTTCTCTCTCTCGCTTCCCTTCGCAGCACGGCCGCGTCCCGCTAGCTCGTGCTCCCCTGCTCCGTCCGCGGGGCCGTGCCGCCGGCAGCGCCCGGGCACCGGAGCTCCTCGGAGGGCGGCGACAGCCGCGGAGGGGACCCGGGAGCCGCGGGGGGAGACGTCACCCCCCATCCTGCGGGACCGCACCGTGCGGGCTCCGGTTCGGCTGCACTTGGGGCAAAGGGTCTCCCTGTCCCTCGCTGGAACAGCAAGTCTGGTGTAAAGAGCTTATTGTAATTTCCAGCATCTCCTAAATTTCCAGTCACAAGTGACAGTGAAGTGGATGCGCATTTACAGGACTTCACCCAGGAGAACAGCAGGGACAGGATGAAGCCACGTGTAATGCGATGATTTTGCTGTCTAGAGAACTATGGCAGGAGCTGGGATACACAGAGCAGAGCTGACTGTAAGGAACTTGCCAGCTCCTCCAGCTAGCCCCACATGACAGAACTGAACTATCCCTACTACTGGAAACTCACACGGATGTGAATTAACATAATTTCCAGGCAAAATCTTGTACAATTCCTTTTGAAGTAAATCCTGTATCCTGCTCTATTGAGCCAAATTGTTCCCTTGTTTAGTCACAGTTTGTTTCATCTTCTTTCACTGATTAATGTGATTCATTCTTTTCTTTTGGTTATTAATTATGCATTCCTGCTTAATTCACAACAGTATTCTCAAGCCTCAAGTTGCACTGTGCAGCGCACAGTACAGCTACTGACATGTGCTCTGTGCTGAGTGACAGCTGATCAAAAAAAAACATTGCCATCCAGAGAAAGTTCTAATTGTTTGGAGCAATCAAGGCAGGAAATTGAAAAATTGAGGACGTTGTCCATTTTCAGCAAACAAAACCAAAACCCACCAAAGATGAATTCTTACTCAGTTCCAAATCTCTTGTACTGAAAATACCATGCAAACAAATAAACCTTTCTCATATGTTGTATATGTACTATGCCTTTTTTATTTAGTTGTTCATAAGGATTTATTCTAATTCTTAATTGATTACCCTTCTAAGGAAAATAGTAACTTGATTATATAGAGAAATATTATTGTGGACCCCCCACAACAGAAAAGGAACCAGGTACAACCAAAGGGTGTTATGAACTGTGAGTGACTCAACTCACTCAAGACAATCTTTAAGAAGAAGCCCGATTACATCAATTTGTGTGTAAACATCAAGAAACAGCTCTCTCTGTTTTAAAATATCCTTCCCTTTTTCATATACCCCATGGCAAAGCAAAACATTGCTGTGCTTCATGGCAGGAAAACATTCATGGTTCTTAAATGCTATTACCACGACAACACTGTGGATTCAAATCCACTTCCTTTACATTTTAGCCAAGCATCATTGTTCTATCAGCAATGCATATTAGATGGCTATAAAAAGGGATAACACAAGAATGGTGTGCCTTTCATCATTTTCTTTGTAGGGATCCTGGCGTTACACGCAGCCAGGACGTATGTACAGAACAAACACTGGTGCAAGCCTATCTCCAACGTAATAACAGGCGTGATCACCGAGGAATACTCTGTAAATGTTGGAGATGCTGAATAGACTAATCTCCAGCATTTCTGACCTGCACTCAGGGCAGGTGTTCTGCAAATAATCTCAACATCGACTCAGTGCAGCAGCAGCTCCCTGAAGAACTGAAGACATTTCTCAGAAAAGAGCTCCACAACTTTACAGAGGCTGAATAATATGAAATAATAACATTCATTTAACAAGGCCCAGTGTAAGACAGTTGACACTGTTTGTGCTGCACTTTGGGAAGCCCTGGACAGTTGAAGCTTAAGCAGTGATTGCTCACTGCACATTTAACTTGTGCCAGGCTGCTGTGGCAGCCACAAGTTTGGGTTTATGATTCTAGCGGTGGAGGGGTTCAATAATTGGAGAATTCAAATGGGAAGCAGTTATGCCTGTGGACCAGAACAGCCTACAGGGACCATCCAGCCCAACAGCCTGAGCCCTTCCAGGCTGCCCAGAAGCTCAAGGGTGTTGTCCAAGTGCTCCTGGAATGCTGAACTTGGGACATCCACCCTCTCCCGAGGGAGGCTGCTCCAGGTCTGAGCACCCTCTCAGTACGGAAATGCTTCCTGACATTCACTCTGATCCCCCCTGGCACGGCTCTGAGCCACTCCTGTGACTGGATCCCAGTGTCACACTGGCCAGCTGCAAAATGTCCAACTGCACTCCCCAAGTCTGTGCTGACTGTGCTCGCATTAGGGTAGGTGGACAGCATAAATCTGGATTTCAGCAACACCAAGAGAAAGAAAAAAATCTTATTCCACATACACTGTCTCCAAAAAACACATTATTTTTTCTTAACTGGGATGATACACTTCCAGGAAGACTGCATTAATGATCCCAACATTATTCTGCCATGCCATTTATTATACTCAATTTTATGTCTATATAATTTGACACAAAATAAGTAACTTTTATAATACAGTTGGACATGAAAACCGCTTAGTAGGACACAAAAGAAGTAATATTACTTGGAGAAATTCAGCAGTTGTCTGCTGAGCATGAGCTGTTACAACAGAAAAGGTGTCATTATTGTATAATAGAGTATTTTTGCAGAGGTAAGGGATTACAGAAGAAACAGAACTCCAGAGGAAAAAAGCATCATGCTGTTCCTTATCAAAGCTACAAAAACAAAGCCAGCAAGGAAAACAAGTTCTGCTTTGTTGAAAATGCAACACTGACATTTGAAGATAAGAGAAAAATACCAAATTTCATAAAAGACAGTTATCAGGTAAGTTTTTAAATGAAAAATCAATTTTATGTTTAACACTATTCACTTGTCATATGATAGGAGAGAACAATACATTCTCCAAACTGGCATAAGAGTTCTGGTTTCCCCGTCTTGGCAACATCCCTGAAGTGTACTACTGTGCTATTCATTCAGTAATTTACAAGTGCTATTACAGCCCCAGAAAACCTTTTTGTTGGGTTAGTTTAAGAGCTAGAACACAAAAGGCAGATCATCAACAGCCCAAGCGCTAGCAACACATACAGTCCCTAAAAACCAGGCCTCTAAAAATCAGGCCATCTGCATTTTTTCCTCACCCCGTGAAGGAGCAAATTTCAAATTCAAGGAAAAAGCTGTGAGTCCCCACTGCTCAGTACCAAGTTGGAGCGGAACTCCCCTTCCTGGCTGTTTTTGGCAGCCACAACCAGCCAACTTAGGCATAAGTCTGACTAAACTCCTAGAACTCACTGCCTGTTCAGAGATTCTGTGTCCTTACAAGCACTGATCAAAACAGTATGTAGCATGGAGAAAAGAGGGCAGTGACAGATGAAAAATAACGCCCAAAACTAACAGGAGGGAAAAAGTGGGATCAGATGCAGCAGCAGCCAGTCAAACCCACTGCAGCATGGCAGGAGAGCCCTTGGCTGCACCAGCACGACAGTCCCCCCAGCCAGTGCCAGGCTAGCTGAGAGCAGCCTGCAGAAGGTGGTAAATACATCATTTTGGAATCAGCCAGCAGCCAAGAGCTTCACTCATTAGGAGTCGTTTATTCAGACAAGACAAAAGCTTGCACAGTTTTGTAACTGTATACAGAAATGAAACCATCTGAAATATATCAGTTGTTTCCCCCTGGCTGTTTCCCCCTGTTCTCAAGTTTAGGATTCCCGCTTGAGCAGTACATATGCTCCCATCACTGCCAGCAGAGCATACTGCAAGGAAACACAGAACACAGACTCGTTACAATTCCTCTCCACTGAGCTCTGAAAGCACAAACTGCTCAAAAGATGCCCTCTCAAACATCACACTCTGCACAATTACAGAGCTCTGGCCCTACAAAATTGCAGGAAGATTTTAAAGCGATCAAATTCATCATAACCAGGCACCACAACTGCATACACTTAACTAACAAAATTCTAATAAATGATATGTTTCCAACTCCTTACAAACAACAAATTCTACTGCCCAACAGTCAGCAAGGAAACCCAGCTCATCCTACGTTAGATACCAAACCACAGGCACAAATCTATTAACATGTATGCTTAGAGGCAAGGTTCTTATTGTCTGTACTTGTTATTTTAGCAACTCAAGTATTCACAATGTCAGCATACATACCTTAAATTTTGGGTAGTCATTCATTATTATAGTTACCATTCCCACATAGGGCAAAAACCTGTAATTGACAAAACAGGTGAATGTAAAATTGACCCTTAAATATTACATGGAAGTATTTTAATGTTACTCAGTCTGGAATATTTCAGTGTGATCCCATAATCTACACCTAATGGGGATCTGAATAGGAAGTAAAATTCATTAGTTTTCCTTAATCAAAGTTATCTGAGAAAATCTGAAGAGATTTCAGCTCAACTGAAGGAGAAGGAGACAAAGTCAAAAGCTCAAACCTTCCATAAAATTTCTGTGGAATGCCAAAACAATTTCCTAGAAATTCCCAGCAATTACAAGGAGAAGCTGGTTAATATTGCATTTTCAGGTGAACTATTTGTTAAATGCCCTTTTTTCCACCCCCACACTCCACATCAGTGTGAGGACTATAGGAAGCAACTTTTCCAGGTTTTCTTTTAAATTACAATTCCATTTAAGAAATTGAAAAAATACATCAGATCTGGTTTGTAGCAACAGCAGAACCGATTTAAGACCTAATTTTTCTCTTTAATTACAAAGTACATTTTGCTTTACTCACCCTCTTGCTCTTCCAACAACATCTTTCTTCTCCAACCAGTTCTGACCTTCTTTGTACAAGCCTCTATCATCAACTTCATTATTATCCCCTTTAGTCAGAAATTTGATGTTCCCATTTCCTCTAGAAGGCAATGAGGTGATAAACTAAATAGCACTTAATTTAAAAATATCAATTAACATCTACAAAGCAAATGAGGATGAAAAGTGCTACAAGATTAGATAACAACGTTTGCTTTCAGCCCTGCTTATTGAACAACCACCATTAAATCATTAACGTTACAGACTTTACTGACTTTATCTATCAACAGACAGATAAAAAGCAAGAAACATTTTTTACAACACTCCTAGATTGTCAATTGATGTAAGCAATTACACAAGGGACATGAAAGGGACATTGTCCATCCAGGCACTAAACTTCCTCAGCAAATCCTGTGTGTTTATCAGCATCTTCCACAGAACACAAATTCAAATAAAGTTCTTAAGTTTACAGTCTTCAAATGAATTTTGCTTAAGTACCAATATCAAGAAATGAGGAGTTCTCATAAAGACAAATTAGGTAATTTTTAAAAAAAAAATTAAATAAGCAATTCTTGGAAATTTTAAAAAAGCATGGAAGAACAGATGCTACTCAAGAAATAAACACCTTCAGTTCATGGAGCAAATACATCACTGCTTGCCACCTCCAGCTTGGCTTTTCACTGTGCAGAACTAGGAGCAGAACTGTGGTTTGGAAGAACTGTTTGGCAGGGCAGGCATCTGCAATCAAGGCCAAACCAAGCCCTCTCCCTGCTGCTTTCAGCAAGAACTGTCATGGGCAGTGTGGCCAAGAGACACAAGAATAACAAGAGTCTCTTCTTTTATCCTGAATCAAATTTGGAAAACTTCAGTTAGCAAAGTTCACACACTCTGTCAGGCTGCACCCTGATTCTGGATCTCCACCTTCCATCAAAAATTTACATCTTAAAACCAAAATCCCAACTGCACAACCAACAGCACAGATGTGGATTCTGCTCCCACGCACATTCCTGCTGCCAAGATTCATCCTGGGCACAGCTCCAGCTGCTCCAAGCCTGAGCAGCTCCGCTGAGGGAAAGGTCTCAGACCCTCACAAAGTGTGACACAGAACTGGGGACAGAAGTGGATCACATCCTACAGCTGAGCTTTCTCTCACTGCTGATCCTCACTTGCCTTTCTCACACACTAAACCACAATTAAATTGACACTGAAAGCCACGGGGAAGGAAAGGAGCTTTACAAACAAAAAACCACCAAGTTGCATTACTTTTCATGTACTTTGATAACTCTGTGAACTATTGGAATGTCTCTGCCTTCAACTTTAAAAACAACTATTTCACCAGCTCTGATTGGGTCATCATGGAAATTTGTTAGGAACAGCAGGTCTCCCCTGTGAAAAGCTGGCTCCATGCTGCCACTACAAAAAACAAGAAAGAGAGTCTGTTGGCAAAAATGAAAGAAGCACCATGAAATCAAAGAACATTTAATTCTTACAGATAAATCCACAGTTCTAACAGAGATCTGTAGCTTCACCCATTCAGTTACACTGCTCAGACCTTTAACAGAACCCAAATCCCAGAAAGCAATCTGCAGGAGTTTACCCATTAAGTGAAGGAACTTGGATTTTAAAAGGTCTCACACATCTACTGCTCCTACAAACCTCAGTGGGAACTGGGCCATGGCTACTGACACTGTGACTTTTGTTGGAGCCCAAACACAGCTAGAAGAAAGCGAGTGTTTGAGTCTTTCTTTAAATAGGTGACATCTCAAATTCCAACTGTATCCAAGGAGGAGGGGGACCAGACAAAAGGCAAAACAATTCCTGGACTTGAAGCAGAAAGCCTTTCCATTGACTCACCTGAGCACCACCACAATGGGGCTCTCACTGCCAGTCACCACGATCAGCCCTTTCCAGATCATCAGGGCAGAAGACACAATCATAGCAAAATTTAGGACTTGGTAATATAGCTGTGTGAAACAAGAAAATCGGTTTTTAAAGGTCCTGTATTGTATTTGGAAGAACAACACAGAACTTTAACTCAAGTCCACCTCAAATTCTAGGTTAAAATCCTACTCCAACACAAGTCTGGTAGCACAGGCTGCCACGTCAGAATCCACCAAACTGCAGCATAAAGCTGGAATCCTCAGTGTGCCTTAGTCTTGGGATAATTCACTCCTGTGTGGCAGTGACAGAACACTCTGATAAAGGCTTATAAAGCTGGGGAAGCGCCCTGGCAGACGATCAGAGCTGTTTCGGTGACACGACCCTGCCTCCCTGCCGAGCTCGGAAATACCGCACCGGCCTACCAGCAGAGCCTGGCTTTCTGAGAGCGACTTTTCTTAAAAAGAGGAGCTGGAGCAGACGAGACTCGACAAAAGATCATTTCCTGCTACTGTCATACTGAAATCTCTTATCTAGAAAATCACTGATTTGACTTTCTGCCCCCAGTGCTCCCGCTCCGCCGGCCCTCACAGCAGCGGATGCGCTTTAACCACACTCCTTCATTATTCTGGGCTCCTGTTCTCGGCAGCACACGGGGACAGTGGTGGGAAGGAC